GTTTGCAATCCGTAGGAGATTTATGCATGAACTCATCCTATTCATAACATGTATATAAATATTGCTAGAGATAATGTGCTGCTAGGAGCCATGATATGAATCAGACACCCACAAATAGATCTCTGAGGGATAAAATTACCATGGTTACTTCATCATTCTCCTCAGACATTAAGAAGAAGAATAAGATCCCGTGTATAGCTGAATAGTAAAGATTGGTGTAAATACAGTAAATCTCCTATGGATTGCAAACTTTGGGTTACATCAGTTTGTCCTCTCAGTTCTATCAAGTGATAAGATCCTAACCACAAATTTACCTGCTCGGCGATGCTGGTGTTGAACCACCATCCCTTGCCGTTCTCCTTGTGTAGCTCCGGGAACGCTGCAGGGTTACAGTATCTCTGACAAAAGTCGTGCGTTGCCTTGTGTTTGTTCAGAAGGTGCCAGACGTCGACGACCATGGCCACGTCGTCCCACCATGGGTCCGACATCGCTTGCTGTTTGGCCTCGCATGCGGTATCGTATATCCAGAACTCGGGCTTCCGAGCGCCGGGGATGCTGAATACAGTCTTGACCATTTTCTAGAATTAAATTAGCGGCAACAAAAAGACGAGGGGATGGTGGACTGACCATGTTCACGACCTTCGCGAATTGAATGCCGAAGTCCATTGTGAAGGCGACCGCTTCTCCTATAGTCTGAGTTCGCATCTCAGAGTCCTTCTGACAATCGTTGCCGTCGCAAACGCGGCCAGGTGGATATATGTTCACGAGAGCTGCCCCCATCAAATAGATATGAGTGAGCTGGGTAATGAAACGAGACCGATTTGGGGTACTCACGGATTTTCACCGCCCAGCCAGTTTCCTCGAAAAGCGTAGCAAGGTCTTGGTGTCGTTCCACTGAGCGTGGCATGGACCATACAGATCGCTTGAGAAGAGCCCACAGGCGCTCGAGGGTGGTGATGTCGAGCTTCGTGACAGTGGAAAGCCACTTGATGTGGGGCCGGGGTATTGATGGAGGTGGATCGATGTCAGTCTTGCGTTTGGCAGGCTGGACGAGAGCGAAGTCGTCGCGTAGCTCGACACAGCAATCCATGAATGTCGTGACTTGCGAGAGTGAGACGTCGGCTAAGCTAGGGACGTTGTCGATGAGGGTAGAAATCTGACCGAACGTGAGGGACATGTTATAGAGAACGGGTGAAGGGGAGAAGCAGAGGTATTTAGAAAGGGAGAAGAGAAACACGAAGACAGAGAACTAAATCATAGACTCGTAACCAGTCTCACCTTATGCGGCCTAATAAGGCAACGAGCCCATAGGCTCTCGCATCAGGGAGACTGGGTGATTTGGGGCAGCTTCTGGCAGGGGACCAGCGGACTTTGAAAAAGAGCTCGGCCCGAGAGAAATCCATACCTAAAAGAGGAAAATCAACCCCTGAGTCACAGATGCGTCGCGTCTAAGTGCTGCTCGGTTAGATCTGTACATACACCAATCCATATGTTGTCCCTCCTCGCGATCATTACAGAATGAATAGATACGATCGATTCGAACCATCATCACTGTCCGATAATGCACGTCGCTCACTCGACGAGCTCACGATCGCCTCTGTCGAAGACCTGACACCTCAGCAAGCCGAGGTTATCTTCAAGGCCACACAATGGTTCGATGCTCGTTACTCGGGCGAGCGAACGCTCCGCCAGTTTCAAGTCGAGGTACTCGTAAAATTTATAGCTGGAAAGAACGTCATTGTTCGCGCAGGAACGGGTTATGTCAAGACACTTGCCATGATCCTTCCCATTCTCTTTGGTGATCCCTCCAAAATCGCACTCACAATCTCGCATCTCAAGCTCTTGCAAGACAGTCATGTATGTTGTGCTCTGTTCATCCGATTTAATACTTAATGGGACTCAGGCATTGGAGTTTAATAACTTCGGCGTCCCTACAGTCCAAGTCAACCAGGAGACCCCGAATGACAAGGAGCTTTGGAAGGTACGCACTCTGTTTGTCTCTGCACATGATGATCCCTCTCACATTTCATAGGATATTCAAAGTGGCAAGTATTGTAACATACTATGTGCACCTGAGCAGTTCTTTCAATACGATGGACATGTTCCCCGCCTCGCCAACCTCGTACAAAACGTCCGAGCATTCCGTCAAAAAATCGGATATGTGAGCTTCGACGAAGTACACCAGATCCAAACAGCTAGTTATGCTCAGCAGAGTAAATCACGTCCATTTCGACCCATGTACTCACGGCTTGTTGAACTCCTCATTATTCTACGTGGTGATACACCTCTTTTAATGCTCTTGGCAACGCTCCCACCACCGACCCTCTGCACCATTCTCGATTCACTTCGTCTGAAGCAGCAAGATGTTATCATGCTCAGGAAGCCAACAAACCGGCCTAATCATATCTACACAGTTCATCACATCAAGGCTAGCCTCAAGAACCTTTCTAACTTCGATTTCCTCATTCCTTACAATCCTGACATCCAGATAGGATTGCGCTGCAAAATATGGAGGTCGAGTGCTGTCGTATTTGCGTCGGCCAGAGCATCAGACAGCTCCTTGAGCCTGGTTTCTTCAAAGAGCCAAGCCGGAGATACAGTCCATTGCAGCGGTGGAGGCGATGGAGGTGGGTGATAATACACAGGATGAGGCCACGGCAGCATATTGTACGTTCACGCAAGAGGGAGAGGGCACAAAAGCATTATATTCATGGCACGGCACGTACATAGCACAACGCAAGCGCGACGCGATGCGACACTACAAGTGCACGATCGGCCGCGATGATGCCGGCTTATCTAACCAATCTCCGCCGTCCTTCGATGCTTCTCGCACGCCAAGTTTTGGACTCCGCTGGTCCCCTGCCAGGGAGTGCTCCAAATCTCCCAGTCTCCCAGATGCGAAGGCCCCTCGGCCTGTTACCCTTTTGGGTACGCGTCTCGGGAGACAGGTCACGAGTCTAACTAAATCACTCACCGAGTAAATAAGCGACTCTGCAAGCGGGACTGCGATCGAGAGAAGCCAAGGCCAAACAAAAAGCTCCCTCGAATCGTCGGCGCAAAGAAACAAGAGATAAGATAGAAGGGATGTTGAGAAGAGTTGATGAAGCAAGAGAGAAGCAATCCATCCCGACATGGGGTCATTAAGGCCATACAGAGTCCCATTGAGATGTCTCCGAGCGCGAGGTGGCCGGTGATTGAGGATCAGTACGAGAAGGAAGCACTGAGGATCAGCGCTTCAGCACGAGAAGAGTTATCGACGAATGGGTGGGCACGCGGCGACAGGGGCTACCGCGAGGGTCGCGAGCGCGCGTCTATCCGTGGGAAGAATTCGTGGGAAGTTGACTTCTCGCTGGACTGTGGGAATTAAGGTTTGCTGCCGGTGCCCTGCCGGTGTCGCGCCGGTTTCTTTTGGTAAGCCCAACAACCACGCTATCTTGGGCTATCACCTTTTCGCACTGTTTTCTCACGGGGTGCTGCCGCGTCTCGCGTCAGCCTTCTGTGCTCCATCTCCCTTTCACTGCAAGCATTTCTAAATTATAGTGGCATTATTACTTAAAAATTATGTTAAAGATTAAGGTGAACAGGTTTCAATAATTAGGTTCTCATTATTTGAAAACTCTATCAAATACAAGGCTGTTCAGCTGTTAATAACAGGCGTCTTCCTTTCCTGTCTTGGATTAAAGATTAAATAACGAGGATCTAATTATTGAAACCCATCCACCTTGTTCTTTAAAATAATTTTCAAGTAATGATGCCACTATTATTAAGAAACACTTGCAGTGTTTGTGAATTTGTCACTATGGGCAAACACCAATATTACCTGCCAGAATATTGATCAAAATT